TGTACCCCTAAACCCCAAACCAGCTGCTGCATGCAGATCCTCCTTCAATAACCACACCAAACATCCTAAAACTAAACCCCAAAGGGCTCTGCAGCAGCCACGGCCGTGGATTCTTGACAGACAATACCCGGCACCTTTCACGGACGAGACGTTGAATAGAGAGATCTGAACCGACGACTGGGAGATTAAACAACATAAGAACACCTTGGAACTCTAAATTCTATCACCTTGCAGCACCCTTATGCAAGCCTTTATAGAACCCCCATCAACAAAAATGTAGGAACCAGCCCAAACCTCAACCCTAAAGAATACAAAAAAACCCGTAAGAAACTCTCACTGTTAACCCTTAACCCTAAACCCCAAAGAAGCCTGACAGAACCTTTAGAAATTCCGAAGCCCTGTTTCAGGGCTGTCCTTGAGACACAGAGGCAGCCACCCAGATCCGGCTTAAATGATACCTGATCCACAAATCCAACCAACCTTAAAGATTCTTTCAGGGTTCACTCAAGAGCTACTACAAAGGGATCTATAAAAGGGTTCCTTTCAGGGTCCCTTTCAAGGGTTCCTCTAGAGAGTTCTGTAAGGAATCGACCACCTGCGGCCTTAATCCCCGAACCTTCAAAATCTCCTCGGGAGCTAAATCCTTTTCGATCCCTTAAGGAGCTGACTCAACCTTGAGCCTGGCTTAAAGCCTATAAACACTTCAAGCCCGTTTAGGGTTTCGGATTTGGGTAGGGTTTAAGGTTTAAGGTTTGGCGTAGGGTTTGGGGTTTAGGGTTTAGCCCTCCGACCAGACGTTGCGCCGTAGAACCGAGCGTTTAGGGTTTGGGGCTTAGGGTTTTGGCTTGGGGTTTAGGGTTTAGGCCTGGTTTTAGGGTTTAGGCTTGGTTTTAGGGTTTAGGCTTGGGTTTAGGGTTTATAATTCAGAGCCTAACTCGGCCCGAAGCTGTTGAATGCAGGAGAAGGACCCCTGCCAGACGCCCGTCCAAATATCTGCAAACCAGCTAAGATGGCTAAACCCTTAAGGAAAACCAGCGAGAACGGGCCTTCAAGACTTCTAAGCCTTCGAAGCACTGCGCTGTTGGAAGGATGTTGACCTTGGCTGGAGATTCGGAGTAGGTGGGCGCCGATGGGCTTTACCTTCACCCACCAAAACCCAATTTTTTGTAGGGTCCCTATAAATGCCATATTAGGGTTTACAGTAAGAACCTAGAAAAAAGCAGGCCATGGTAGTTTAAAGTGGGGCTATCGGGTTTAGGATTGAAGGTTTGGGGCTAAAGGGCTCAGGTGTCAGTTGGAGGGCTTAGCTTGAGAGGCTCAAGGTTGAGGGTTCTGGCTTGAGGGTTTAGGTTAGAGGCTCGTAATCACCCATGAAGCCCATAAGCCCTGCACCCAACAAGTCTCAACCTTGCACCACATGGGGACTGTAGGTTCGTCACGTGCTGCTTGCACCATCCCTAAGCTCAACGCCTTAAGCCAGGCCCTCCAAGTGTCTGGGCGGGCCGCACCCTGCTTCTACAAAACCTTGATAAACAAAAACAGCCATCACAATGTGAGGGCAATATACCCCTCAACAACTAAACACTAAACCCTAACAACGCCACATGACCGCAAACCTCGATCTGAGAAGGCTGCTGGTGTGAGGCAGGGCCTGTCCTGCTCGAGATCAACAGAGCGTTTAGTTGAGGGCTTAGGCTTTAGGGTTCTGTGTAGGGTTTCATTTAGTGTATCTTTATCGGTTTCTTTAAGGGTTCCTGTTTTGACGCTTCCTTACAAGGTTCTTGTAAGGGCTCCTTTTAGGGATCCACTACGGACCCCTTTAATGGCTCTTCTGAGGGTTCCTGTAAGGGGTTCCTGCCAAAGCTCTTTTGAGGCATCCTTCAAAAGATCCTCAGGGGATCCTGTAAGCTATGTGAACCTATGGGGTGTTCCAGGATCCCCAAAAAAAACCCTTCAATGGAGCCCTGATGGTCCTTAATAATTGGTGGGCAGTTAGTGTATATTAGAGGGTAGTCGGGGTGTCTAGGTTAAAGCACTCTTCAAGGATTTATGGTACTGTTCCCTAAACCCCAAACCCTAAACCCTAAACCCTAAACCCTAAACCCTGAACCCCTAAACCCTGGCTTCACGGATTGAGGTTCAAGGACCAGCGCTTCGAGGTTTGGGGTTTCAGGTCCAGTTTAGGGGCTCCAGGGCTCGCTTAGGGTTTAGGGTTTAGGGTTTAGGGTTTAGGGTTTAGGGTTTAGGGTTTAGGGTTTAGGGTTTAGGGCCCCAGCGGAACTCCGAAACCCTACCCCCCCTCCTGAGACAAACCCTACGGAGTAGTTTATGGGGTTTCTGCTTTAACGCCGGAAGTCAAGTGGGGTCAGCTTGAGGCTCCTATGCCCCACTATAGCCTATATAGCCTATAGGGTGTGGCACTAAAGCCCGATACCAACAGCCGGCACAGCGTCAGAGCAAGAGGCAGCAAAACACGTGCCAATTAAATGCACAGTCACCCTAAAGGAGCCGTATATACACTATTATGACCGTACCGACACTACCTTTTGCAGGATAACCTGTTGTTGCGCCTCCCACAAATGGTATTGCAACACTTCGCAAAAGTCAGATGCTACCTGAACGAACGCTAAGAGCTCTAGAAACCCTGAACGTCTTCAGCCGAAAACCGGTTCTAGGTTCCCCAGCACCCGGCTGCGAATTAGGGCACACTTCTCCTTTAATCCTAAGGGAACCTAAAACGAAAAACGACAAATATTACTACCGGGGAACCTAGGGTTTTAATTAGAGAGCACTTAGGAAGCGAGGCACGGAACTACCGGGCATCCGTCCTTGATGAGCCTGCGGGGTGAGTGCTTGGATAGGACGGAAGGTCTTCGGGTAAGGTACGGCTCAAGATTTGGGGTTGTGCGGTCGAATTGGGGGGTTGAAGGATTTAGAATTCAGGTTTCGGGTGCAGGGTTCAGGAGTTCTTCCGACTCGTACTACTTGCTTGATGAGTTTCCTTGAAACCTCAACCCTAAACCTCCACCCGACAGGAATCGCGATCCCAGGGTTGGCTGTAAGCCCTCAATCTGGGCTCTGCAAACGAAAGCCGAAAACTCCGAACCCAAAGCGGCCCGAAACCCACAACTTAGCTTGCGGTGTCTTGTGGGCTCTGTTGAATCTTTTCATCCATCTATCTCTATCTCGCACACACTCTCTCTCTGTACAAATAATGATAATCATAGTATATATATATATATACACATACACATGTATATCTGTATGTCTGACTTTCGAAGGCTTCCGTGGGTTTTTTGTGAGAACCGTTGCCTTAGAGCAATGCACTGTACTCCGAATACCTCCTATTTAGGATACATCTGTGATCTGGGGGGATTAGGGTTTACGAAGGCTTAGGAGTTCGGGCTTAGCGTTTAGGGCCCAGGGCCCTGTGGTTTGAGGAGATTAGGGCTTTTAGGGTTTAGGGTTTGGGGCTTAGGGTTGACCTTAACCCTGAAGAACCTACCTTTTTAGGGTTCCTTATTATGATTTCCTTATATAAGTCCTAAAAAGGGTAGGTTCTTCAGGGTTAAGGTAGGGTTTAGGGTTTGGCTTAGGGCTGAGGGCTTTAGGAGATTAGGGCTTTTAGGGCCTTTAAAACTTGAC